AGGCCTGGCCGCCGCCGCCGCGAGGGCGCGGGGCAGACAAAGGAGGCAGACAAAGGCGAGCGCAGCCAGCGGCAGTGCGGGCGCCGGGCGAGGCGGGCCGGCTCCTCCCGGTGCGTAGAGGCCGCCGCCGCGCGGCCCGGGGCGCGTGGGACGGGAGGGGCGCCGGCAGCGGTGGCGCGTCCGGAGCGGCCCCGAGGGGAGCGGGCGACAAAGGGCTGCGGCGGGGGCTCCTGGCAGACCCCAACAATGGATCGGGGCTGCGCGTTCAGCTGCGGCCGCGTCTGGCCGGGCAGGGGCCGGCCGGCCCCCAAAAGGATTATTCCGCCTAGGCTGTCAAATGGGACGGGAGAAATGCCCAGGGCGGGGAGGCTGGACGCGGGGCGATGGGGGCTTTGCAGCCGCGGAAAGTGCGCAGAGAGGGGTCGCTCTTGGGTGTGGGGGTGCAGGGGGTCTTAAAAGCGCTGCCATCTCACCTGGGGCGCTGGCGGCGCACCTGCGACCCCCTTCCCGGTAGAGCAGGGAGGACCACCCCCAACACACACACGCGCGCGCGCACACGCGGTCCGCCTCTGCCACGCCCCGTCCAAAGCCAGCCTGAAGCTCCTCAGCCCGGCCCAGCCCGGACAAAGCAGCGCTCGGGCGGCTCATCCATCACCGCGCGGGGCGTCGCGTCCTGACTACCCTGGGAGCCCGGGAATGCGGGGTTCTGAGTCCCGCGGCCCGCATAACTCACGACGGGGTCAGTGGGGCCTCGGGCACTGCGGAGATCAAAGAGCGCTGGGGCGAGACCCCCGCACGTGGGAAGCAGCTCTCGCGCCCAGAGCTCGCCAGGGGCGTCCATTGTGGCTTGGAAGTTGTAAGTGCACCGCTCTGCCGCCAGGCCAGACGGGAGTTCCTGTCCTGATGCCAGTCCTCGTGGCCTCGGGCAAGTCGTCCTTACACCTAACTCTGAGTTCAGGGATTCGAGGCACGGCCTAGGTAGGGAGGTGATGTTTCTAAGGTCCTGCTCACAGAAAACACTCCAGAAAAAGCTTCCCTTATCATCGTGATATTATCAGCCTGATGGACACCAGGACAGATAGATGGGTGAGAAGACTGCTCTGTGTGCTCACAGGATGGTTTGAGCCAACCCATCCCACAAGTACTTGTTGAGCACCTACTGTGTGCGGCACAGGGGAGACAGTAGTAAACCCCATGGACGAGAAGCCCTGCTCAAGGAGCTGACTTTTTTTTTTTTGAGTTGGAGTCTCACTCTGTCGCCCAGACTGGAGTGCAGTGGCCGCTGCCGGCCACCGCAGCCTCGACCTGCTGGGCTCCGGCGTTCCTTCCGCCTCAGCCTTCCAAGTAGCCGGAATTACAGGCACGCGCTCCCACGCCCGGCTGATTTTTTGATTTATTGTAGAGATGAGGTCTTGCTGCCCAGGCGGTCTCCAACCCGCGGGCTCAGGCCATCCACTCACCTCAGCCCCCCAAAGGCGCGGAATTACAGCTGAGCCACCGAGCCCGGCGTAGGAGCTGACTTCTAGTGAAAGAAGCAGAAGGTAAACTCATGAACGAATAAATATCTACCACATCAGGTGG